TACTGCAGTAGCAATATGTGAACTACCACAAAACTGAGGAAAACAGCTGTTTTGTGCTTGCATTTCAAAACATTTATACTCTTACCTTGAAAACACCATGAATGAAGAATTTAGCAAACATTCCCAAAGGAGAGTAGATATAAGATAAAAATACAACCAAGATGGAAAAAGAAGTTACTTTAAACCTTTGTCTTTCCTTTGAAAGTGTTTAGGAATGAGTTGTTTTATTTTTGGTCATTGAGACTTGGCATATTTTTGCTGTTCATATTTCATTCTTAATTTTATGCCTCATTGTTTTCTGCCTGAACACAAAATTGTTTATATTGTAGTTTATAGCAAGGTTAAGTTTACAAATACTGTTGAGAAAAAAAGAACTGGTTATATTCAGCTACTGAACATCTGGTCTTTAAATGATTCCCTTTACTTTATTAATAATCCAGTATAGTAAGGACCTTCCAGAATAAGCAAACTGGCAATCTTGCATGACCTTCCGTATGGCAACTGAAGGCCTGGTTTACTTATTGCTAACTCAGTGTATAAGGCGTTATGGACATTTGTTGATCTATTTCAGAGTAAGTAACATTCTAAATTTATCTATCATTCACTGGTTTAAAGGGCTGTAAGCCTGAAAAGAACATCTGGAGGGATTTCAGAAGGTGTGTATAGAGAATTCTCACTTCCACACTCTTCTCAGGCAGCAGGATATTGAGCTGACTAAAAAGTCACTGCACTACACAGTTGTCCAGCATGCAGGGCACACCTTGTGAGGGTCCGAACCCCCTGATGAGTCTTCTTTGTGTTATGATGTGTTTTTTTTATCTATTCATGTTTTGCACTATGATTCCATAGGATCATGGGAATTCAGTGAAGAGATGACTAGGAAGTTGTTGGTGGAAAACGCAAGCTGAAACTCATGTGATCTGACAAGTCTGAGAAAATTCGGCAGTCAGTTGCTTATAACACAAACAGGAGAGAGTAGAACCTTTTCTTTAACACCACTCACTGAACTCTAGAATATTCCAAATGTTTTTTAAAGTAGTAGAGAGCTTAGCACTGTCAATATATAAAAGGTGAGACTTATTTATGCATGTTCATATGTATGTATGTTTGTATGCATGTATGTGCATTTTGCATATACTTGTGTACATATATTTGGGTTGTGTGTCTGAGTATGTGTGATTGTGTCTATGTGTGTAAGAACCAATTGAGAATTCCTCTAAATGCAAATGTTTTTTACTTGACAGCCATTCTAAACAACAAAATAATGCAATATTTGATTCATATGAAGATAGTAAATAGAAACATGGTATAAAAATATAAGATGCAACGGTTAGAAAAGTTATATTCAGAATATTTTCATAGTGCATATATTATAGATACAGGTAGAACTCAAACAGCTGCTGTATTTCACTTTGGAGTCTTACATGCTGATGGTACTTCAAGTACATTTATCAACATGGCTACTATATGCCAGAAACTATAAAGAGAACTAGAATTAATTGGAAAACATCTTTACCATTGTAGTTTGGTGGCTAAGGATTATAATAATAACCTTTCACATGTTGACACTTCACAGTTTTCCTATTAAAATGCAGGCATCTCCTGGGAAGGCCTGCACAGCATCAACTTATATCAATAAATTTGTGCTAATGGCCAAGAGCTCTGAGGACGGTGGGTAGGGTGTGCACAAGAGAGAATGGAGGAGGATCACCATGGGAAATGTCGGACATGTAGAAACAAACTGTTGTGTACTTTCACGAAGAAGCTTACATTTCATACTTCATTTACTCTTTTGCCATTTCATGTATGGAGGCAGACTCAAATTGAAAAACGGTGGTTTACAAAACACGGTGCTCGTAGAATCGTTACCTTGTTTGTTACATTAAAAAAAAAAACAACATTCTGAAGGTCATCTTTTTCTCCCAGTCTGATTATTTTTTATTTCACTAAAATCAGTCAATTTGAAAAAGAGTGAAACTGTACGAGATTGGGTTGGCCGCAGCCTCATCAGGCAATCAGACACGAGATCAACACAGCTGCTGGGCCCACAGCAGCTGGGAAGCTGCTCATCACAGCCCTGTAGGGCACAGAAGACAGCACGGTTGTCATGGGGGTGATGCCAGCACAATTTATTAATTTACTTCTCTGAGAGATATTTAAAATCAGTGTCAGGCTCTCCAAGATTATGAAGCAGTTTGATACAGGCTTTGGGCTCTTCTGAAATCTCTTCCTTCAAATGCAAATACAACTGTCTTGGAAATTGGGACACATGGAATCTACTTTTAATACTGTGAAACAACATATACCACATTGCATATTAAGATTTTGTGTACAATATATTTATTTGCATACAGAAATATGTATTTCTATTGTACATTTTATTATTTTATTTATAGAATATATATTTTATATATATATTAAGCATACAGCATATTCCAGGAAGATACATTAAATATGCACATAGTTCATGCTACAGCGTGCACCCCTTTAACAAAAGCATATTGAAGAGGCGTGGTACTGTATATACATGCTGAAAATATGCTTTGCACAAGTTCATCCAGCTGTGGGTGCTTTCCTAATCTATTTGAATACCAGTGCTATGTTTTTTGGAAGGAATAATATCAAACTCGTGGGAGGAGGTAACTGTCAATGAACTAAGTAGGAGGAAATAAAAGTAGACTCCATTGCTAAGTAACTACTGCCATCAGTTTGAACCTCCACCTCCCCCAGTGTTGTCGTTTCAGAACTGAAAAGCAACGAGTGGACAAAAAGCGGGGGTGTGTGGGACCTCCAGCTTCTGCGAGTCACATGAGAGATTTTATTTCTGGTAATTCATTTTATTGGTGATTTTGACCTAATATTTGAGATTTGACATTAAACTAATGGTGAACTGATAAAAGGACAATCATTTCTTTTATTAAGAAATGAACTGGCTCTCTTTGCATTCTTAAATTCTTCTTAGAAGATCACTCTTGTATATTTACATTATTGCTGTAAGAAGAGAAGAAATAGATACTGAACAGATACCGATGTTTTGAGGGAGAACAAAAGAGATGAATCGTATTGTTTTTAAAGGAGTATTTCATTACATTGAAAGGAAAAATGGCAGCTCCAGGTGAAACTCACCATAGCAACTGCAGCCATGTTGATGAGGAAGGGCTGCAATCTCTTGAGTATACTCTGTGGCGATTATGATCAGGCGCTAAGAGGCTGAAAAGAATGCGGATGTCCTGGTGACTTTGAATATACAGATGTGGCCTGTGCTCCAAATCAGTGCTTGCCATTATGCCAGACTCAGTGAACAAGAGTTGCTGACACATGATTGGTGAGTACTACCTTTTACCCCAACAGGTAAGCAATTTACATTGATCTTCTAAAACTGGACTAAGATTAGTTTTCCACTTACAGGAGGAAAACGTTAGAAATTTCATAATAAAACAAGAGTTTCTCCGCCTTGACAGTATGGATACTTTGGGGCAGCTACTTGTTGTTTTTTGTTTGGAAATGGTGTGCATTGTAGCCTGCTCAGCAGCCACAGCAACAATGCAGGCTCCTCTGCACTGGACCAATGCTTCCTCCCACTTTTGACAATGAAAGATACCTCTGTATCTTAGTCAGTGTCTCCTCGGGGATATTGCCCCTGACTGAGTCACTGAATAAGCAAAATCAGTAATGGTTAATGCAAATCATTGAGTATAGACTCTATTGTTCGACTCATCTTCAACTCTCCCAGGTTCTGATTCTGATTGGGAAGGTTTCCATAGCATTGTTTATCTTTAATTATTTTCTTGAATGTAATAGCTTCACTTTCAATAAAGTTATAGATTGGGCACATATAAGAGCAGACAGAAGGAAGGGATGGATACGGTGCAACTAGTATAAGACAGTTGGGTTCATGATGAGTTAGTTGATACAGCAAACAAAACCGGACCTCCAAACCTGACTCTTGAGCTTCGGAAAGTTTACCCGAACTGAAGTTAAATCCATATCAAATAATGGAGCATATTTAAAAAGTGAAACAACAGGCCATTTTTTTGTTTCCAAAAAATCAAGAAGCTCATTGGCCTTGTGTTCTTTCTGCTCAATTCATTATTTGATTTGAACAAATAAAAATAAAGGTGGAATGTGGATTTAAAATGTTAAAGTAGTGAGGCATGGGGGTGCATGCCTATAAGCTTAGCACTCTGGAGGCTGGAGCAGGAGGATTGCTGCGAGTTTGAGGCCAGCCTGGGCTACATAGTGAGTTCAAATTCAGCCTGGACTACAGATCAAGACCTTGTCTTGAAAAACCAAAAAAAAAAAAAAAAAAAAAAATGGTAAAAGTATACATTGATATGACTGTGGACTAAAGGGATTAAATGAACTGCTGCTATAAGTATATACACAGAGATTTTGGAGAGAAACAAGTGAAATTACTCAAGCTGGAAGTTATTTTTATAAATAACATGTTCAAATATTGTTGGCAATTGGCTTCTTACAACTTTTTGTTTTTTTTCCCCTGTGCTTAGTTTTTAAAAAACTCTCCAAATTATTGAGATGCCAGTAAGGAGAAAAGGCATACAAAATAGTGCTAAGAAGTTCTGAAGCTTGCTGGGTGTGGTGACACATGCCTATAATCCCAGCACTCCGGAGATTGAGGCAGGAGGGTCACTGCAAGTTCAAGGCCAGCCTGGGCTACAAAGGGAGTTCAAGGATAGCCTGAAGTGCACAGCAAGACCCTGGCTCAAAAAGACAAAGCAAAACAAAACAAAACAAAGCAAAACAAAACAAGAAAACAGAGCAAAAAACCCCCAGAAATTCTGAGACTTAATACTGACATATTCACCTTATAGCTCCTATCAATATTGCTGGGCATGATATCATAAAGCAGAATATGCAATTTGAAAAGGTATTTATAAATTTAATTTCTATCAATTGGGCCATCTTCAGAAAATGTGACTGGAAGACACAAGTGAGTAATGTAAAAAGATATGAGAGATAAAATAAACAGAAAAATGGGAATCAATCAAATCCTGTATTTATTTCAACTGTCAAATGAAAAGTCTCAACACGGACAATATTTTATATAATTGTATCACTTGAATAGTAGTTTCTGACATGGCTTTTTCATGGCTTAGAATTAGATGGAGAGAAAGGATGTAAGAAGGGCCACCTATATTTTTCTATCATAGCCTGTGAGCTTGTTTGGCATCTGTAGCCACTAGGTTTCGATCACAAAGTTTACTAAGATGCTACAGATTGAAGAATTTTGAAGGTAGATGATCTTAAAGAGAACTGACAATTTGAGGAACATGGACTGTATAGTTTCACCAAATATTTTCACCAAATACAATTTCCCCTTTCACTACATCGTAGAAAAAGTATAGTCATCCTTGCTAATAATTGAAATATCATCCATTAGCAGGCTTCGAACAGAAGGTCTTAGTCTCTTGGGACTGCCCCAGTCATCTAATCTTGTTTAGGATTCAAAATGGATAAAGCAGCATCTTCTTCCTGCTGGCAAAGTCAGGAGTTCGTGTTATACAAGTTAACATTTCATACACGGGTCAGGGAGGTGCCCGGTCAAGCGCAATGCCCTTTTCACCATCTATTTTCTCATTTCAAAATCCACTTGGCCCCAGTGAACTCGCTCCCGCTAGATTGAACATTTTTTTTTAATTGATGAAATTAATTTTGGAATGCTTTTGATTCTCAAGCACATTGATGTTTTAAGTAGACTTATTCTGTCAAAACAATGGCTGGCTGAGGAAACAGAACATATCGGTGAAAAACTTTTATAGAAAATGTCATAGGTGATCTAAATGCTTATAGGTATTTATAACCCCCAAGAATACCAAGGTCGCGCTGGGAATGGCTGAAGTGCCCATTCATGTAGCAGGTTTTAGTTGGATTTACTGAAAATTCTGCAGATGTTACTGACACACAATGCAGAACACACAAGCACAAATGTAATGCTGTACTGAGGGAAAAAATGGTGAGCCCTGCTTGGAGTCTGTGTTTGTTTGGTTGCTTTTTATGGGAGGAAAAGAAAATGGTGACAAAACAAGCATCAATTACATTACAATCCTGCAAATCATATCACACAATAGGAACAGAAGACACAATACCCTGGAGACCACATCTGCACCCTTTTGACTGCTTTCCTCACATCTCCTTTGTGTGGTGTCCACTCTTTATGTTCAAGTCTCCGCGTCAGCCTGTGACGGGTGTTTCACCCTCCAGCAGACCCATGAGAACAACAACGAAGAGAAACAAAGAGATAGACGTTATTCTTGTGCAGAGACTGGTAAAATGTAGATTCAGAAGCCCTTCGCAGGAAAGTAGGAGACAGTGGAGATTGCCCCTTAAATCAGTGATGCCGTCATGTCTCGTTGTCCCATTGCTCCTAACTGATTGGGTTTATAAGGTACAAGATTTTTGATGGGCAGGAGTGGAGTGGCACAGTTCAGCTCCTTAATTGCACATTCCATAATGAGACTATAAAGTGCAATGGCAGAGATATTAAACCTGGGAGCTCGTTCATCTTTTATATTCTTCTCAAGCTCCCTTTGGCAGCCTTTCTTTGTAAGACTGTTTTACCTCGTCGCGCCTATGTTCTTGTAATGACACATGAGGAGGTGTTTAAAGGTCTTCTTGAAGGTGGCGTTGCAAAGTGCATAGCAGGCAGGGTTGATAGTGCTGTTGATGTAACAGAGCCAGTAACCAATTGTCCACACCGTGTTAGGAATGCAGGGTGCGCAGAAGGTGTTAATGAGCACCATGACATTGTACGGGGCCCAGGTGATGATGAAAGCCAGCAGAATAGCCAAGATTGTCCTGGTCACTTTCTTTTCCCGGGAGGGAGGAGGCTTCTTTTTTGCAGGTTGCTTAGTCATCTTCACAATCTTGCGGGCCACGATGTTCTGTTTTTCATCTCCGTTCTGACCCGAAGACCCAACTAGCTCCACAGTGGTATGACTCGGGGTGCATAAGTCCCCTTTTTGCGTCTTGGTGACGATTTTGATGCACGTTTGCTTAGAGTTCTCATCTTTAGAATGGCCCAGGGAAGTGGATACTGTGTTCTCATCCTGGGTTATTTCATCATCTCTCATATTGGAGGCGACGGCACTGACTGAGGTGGAGTCATTGGAGCTCTCCTTCTCCTCCCCCTGGACACAGTTTTCAGTCACAGCACCTCTGGGGGCCTTGCCGTTCTGGATTTTGTTGTGCTCCAGGGCACCGTCGCTGCCGGGCATGTCGTTGTTGTTTGGCTTCACTATTCTTCCTTGCACCAGACTTGGAGACACTGGGTCTTGGTTGGCCACGGGCTCCTTCTTCTCCTTCTTTATTCTGCTCTTGCTGGCTCGGGATATATGCCAATACAGCACAGTCATGATGATTACTGGCAAGTAGAAGGCTGCGATGGCAGTGCCAAAGGTGACGGCAGCATTGGAAAAGAACTGGATGTAGCATTCTCCATCCTCCACAGTTCTCACCCCTACGATGAACTGCCAGAAGAGGATAGCTGGAGCCCAGAGGATGAAGGACAGGACCCAGGCAGCAGCAATCATCATTCCTGCCATTTTTGTGGTCCGCTTAACTGGGTAGGTCAAAGGTTTTGTGACACAGAAGTACCTGTCAAAACTGATGATGAGCAGGTTCATGACTGAGGCATTGCTGACCACATAGTCCAATGCTAACCAAAGGTCACACACCACAGGTCCCAGAGGCCAGTAGCCAATCACAGTGTAGAGGGTGTACAGGTTCATGGAGAAAACACCTATGATGAGGTCAGCACAGGCCAGGCTGAACAAAAAGTAATTGTTGACGGTCTGCAGGTGGCGGTTAACTTTAATGGAAACCATGACCAGGATGTTCCCAATAATAGTCACCAAACTGAGGGATCCAGCCACAAGGACAATAAATACCACTTCAAATGTCTTATAAGGACTGGTAATGGCCAGGCTATTATTGGAGGAGTTTGTTGAATTATTCATTTTGTATTCAGTAGACAAGTAGTCAAATAAGCATTTAAACCTGTAAGGAGATAGAATAAGATTAACAAATACGATATAAACATTGCTGTAAAATGCATCTGGCTTCTTCCTTTTGCATTGCTTTACCTCAGAATGTTCCTTCTTTTGAATGTTTACTGTACAATTCCCTCTTTACAAGGCAAAAACTTTAAACGGAGGATTCAAAAGGACCTTTCAAGCTGGTAAAGTTCAATAACATTGCGAATGTCACCATATAGAGATATGGTTATCTATCATCTTTCTACTTATCCCTTCAATCAATAAACAGAGCATAATCCTGATGATTTGAACTAAATAAACCAAAATTATGCATAAAACTTTCCAAAGCACCCAGAGATTTCTGGAAAGGGCATAGAAATTAATAAAGCAATGAAAGGACACAATTATGGGAAAAGCATAAAATTGAAAGTGTGATTTTTATAGTCAATAGAAGTTTTTGTCCTGCTCACCCGAAGCCTTTTGCATAATACCAGTGACGGGGATGATAAAAACAAGTAAAATCCTTTATTTTCCAATGTACTTCCCCAATGAAAGTTATTTTATTTGACCTCTGTTTTGGAATTGGACTCATTTAGCATTAGCAGTAGAATTTCCATTATTCCATATCTTGCAAAATAATCATTGCTATTTAAATCACAATAGGGTTGTGCCCATTTTTTGAGAGTTTGCTTTTTCAAACTGCTATTAAATCTATTATCTTATTACACTTTCCGTCAAAACTTCAGTCTTATTGAAGAGAAAATTGTGGCCCAAAAAGATGAAGAAATTGATGTAAGATCATATACCGCATCAGTGATAGGGATGAGTTTACGAGACTTAAATGTATTCAATGATTAATTCTTTCACTTTGTCTTCACATATCTATGGAGCCACTTTATTCAGGCATCATGACTTATTCTCAGCTCTCAATGAAGATTAAGACAGAGTCCTTGCTTGTGAGAAATATAAGCTCCAGTGACAAAGATAGGCTGATAAAACCACAATTATTAAACTTAAGTGCACTTCTAAGTCTGCTACACTTAAATGAATTACCATCACTAACTTTGGAATAATCATGTCAAAGTCAGGTGACAGTTGAGTAAAGTGTGGTGGTAATTCAGGACAAGAAGTTAAGAGTTCACTGGAAGAACTGTGACACATTTTTGAAGAGGAATCTGAGGGAAAAGCTAGTCCAAGCTCCATCCCTCTAGCTAAAATTACTGTGAGCTGTATGGCAGAAAAAAGATTAGATACTGAGAAATCACTTGTTTTTACTTCAAAATTTTGAAATCTTTTCTGAGAGCACTAATTACAAAGCAGTGTTTTAGGGTACAGGGGTAGATGTGGCTTATCCTTTGAAATCTATGCAGAAAATATTTCGGTTCGTATCCTCATAGCACAAGTAATGTTTAAACAAATGGTTTACTCTGCTCCAGAAAACAAATTATCTTCAAACATTTTAAAATATAAAAACTACCCTTTGATCAGGGTCTTCATCAGAATAAGACTCCTCAACTTCACAAACCATAAGAAAAATATATATAAGTACTACACAATCATTTAAAACTGATGCATAAAAGAAACACAAATAAATAGTAGAGAAAATGTTTGTAAAATACATACAAGAGATGTACTATTTTTGTCTAAATAAAAAAGAGTTTGGAACAAAGGAAAGACAAAAGTCTAACAATCTAAAATATTGGTGTGCTAATTAGACAAAAGAAAAATGTTAAACATTGTTAAATTTGTAAAAAGTAATCAACCTCACAATTTTAAAATGCAAACTCAAACAAGTGAAGTATTTTCTACAAAAACTAGAAAGTATTTAAGTATTCTTAAATTCTTTTGGTATGAATATGTGGCTAACTTCCATGAAGGGAAATTTATTTGCATCTATGAAAATTTTAAATAAAAATTCAACCGAATATGTATAAAACCTTAAATTTATTTGGAAACGTATTACTTGGGAATCCTGTATCTTGAAATTTGTTTCTCAGCTGCAATCATAGAAATATACAGAGGGGGTCTACTAAAAATGTTCATTCTGTAATGCCAGCAAAAAAACTACAATTGAAATATTAAATTTGATGATTGATAAAGAATTATTAAATATAGTATAGAATAGTCTTGTAAGGGCATATTATATAGCTGTTAAAAGAGATGTACGTGAGTCCTGCCTTTGGTATAGAGACTTGTGCATTAGGAGACTATAAGATAAAGCAAAGCACAGAGGCACAGATAATTATAGGATATAATCATTATATGCAATAAGGTCACTAGATGATGTCATGTATGTGTATGTTTGTGTTTGTATGATTTTATATCCAGAGAAAGAAGCCCATAGTTCATTGAAAGGTTTAATCAGAATGAAGTTATCAGAATGGAGTTCTCCATCAGTAAAATTGTTTAAAAATTTTTTCCATACTGTTTTTCCTCCAGTCCAGTCAAACAAAATAATTTCACTGTGCCTATCATCATTCCAACAAATCCTTAATAGCCAGCATCACTATAAGATCAGAATTCTGACTTGTTTATAAGTACCACATTTTTCTGTTTACCACACAAATTCACAGTCAGTTTGGAACTGAGCTGTTTGTGTATATATTTCATGAAATGTTAATTTTAATTAGCTCTTATTAAAAATGCCAGTTGTTAAATATCATCTTTGACACGAGTATTATTTCACATTCCCTTTGATAAAGTATAGAGCAATATACTAGTTTTCAGAAAATATTTGTAAATGTCTTCTAGAAATAATATTCAAAATTTAGATTGAAAAGTGGGCATTTGAAATCCAGTAGTTCAATCTTTTGTTTTTATAGCTTCAAGTAGAAGAGTAAGAGATTTAGCCACAGTTCTCTGGCGCTTGTCATATGTGACACTATGTAATGATTCTGTATCATCACAGTAACCTAGCTATTTGATTCTTACTCTGCCCCTTCCTCATTATTTGTTTGCTTGTTTTCCCTCTCTATGCTTTCTCTTTTTTATCCAATGACATGCATTACTTTTTTAATATAAAAATGATTCAAGGAAAATTCAGTCTTGTGTCTTTCAAATATATTATGGTCTGATCAGGCATGCAACTTCCCAAACAAATGGATAGTGAAAGCTTAAATAAAAGAGACAAGTGGTATGATTTTAGGCCTCCAGGAGGATTAATAGCCAACATCTCTCTAGCAGAATTTGAGATTCTCTGGGAGCTGAGACAAAGACCTTGTCTAGGTGGGCTGTATTTATCTGGTTTTCAAACAAAGGAGGGGAATACTGAGAAAAGCTTGGGAACTGTGCAGGACCTTGGGAGTCAGTTCAAGGACTTCTCCAAGTAATAAATTATGTTAATTTGGGAGAATTATGCTATTTCCAGGAAGACCTTCACCCCAAGAGTGAGATGCCTGTGGCTACAGTCTTTGTCTAGTTAATTGGGGTTGGAGCCAAGTGTCCTTAGCTGTGTGTTCTTGCCTTGTCCTTTGAGGCTTTATGACATCACAGACTGCTACAGGCCTCAGTTGGGACCAATGATTTATAAAGGTTCACTTACTGCAAATCCGCTGCCCATCTCCAGACAAAGGACCCGGGCTTCCGACAGACTCAGAAGTAAACATGAAAAGCCAGTCGGTTAATTTTAAATCTTTCTCACAGCCACTTTGTTGTGGTCTCCATCACAAATATATATTATCTCACTAAACATTAACAATTATAGAAATACATGAAACACAGTCTATCATCTCTATATGAACAAGAAATTTGAGGTCATAAAAGAAGTTAAGCGATTTGTCCTTGATTACAAGTCTGGCAAGCAAATGATCTACAATAATAATCAACCTCTTCCCCTTCTGGTTAGATATTCTGTCTCTGTCTCTCTTCCCCTTTGAAGAATTATAGTTTATTCAGTAGTATGTGAAATTCTTGGGCATCAGCACAGTGATAAACTACGCCTAAAGGTTGCTAGCTAAGAATGATTGTATTGGAGAACCTGGAATTGTTAGGAAAAACAGTAAATGTATGTGATATTAATATACTTAGTTGTTATTAGAGCTGCTGGATTTTGAGAGCAATAGTAATTACTAAGTTATAGAGACATTGTTATTTAAAAATGGAAATCATTCCTCTTAGAAAGGAGCACAAGTGTTTGAAGAGTGGCATTCCAGGGTGAGAAAGATACTCTGCAGGACCAAGGGCCATTCCTTTTCCATGAAAGGCATCTCTTTCATCAGCTTTTGTCTCTCTGCTGTCTAAACTGCTGTAAAATCTTTTCCTTCCGTCCTGGCACCACAGGGTGTTATTAAAGCCATAATTGTTACATCGCTGATGAAACAACATAATCACAACAGACTAAACAATTAATATGACCTTCAAAGGACTCTGTGCCTTAATATGGCAAGTGTATAATAAGAGTCCATCTGGTATTTTACAATTTAGTTTATAACTAAGTTCTGGAATTACTATGGAAATTTATGAGATGAAAAATTTTCTGCTGTTTTTCTTGGTTACTTGAGTCCCCGCGCATAGCAGAGATAAATGTGTCATGGTTCAATATTTATTCACACAGTCATGGGTACTCTCTCTGCTGGTAATTAGCTGTGTAACTCTGAGCATGTCACTTAAGTGCAGTGAGCCTTACTTTTCTTTTTGCTCAAACAAGAATAATAATAATCGCCTTTTAGTTTTGGAGTTGTAGCAAGGGTCAAAGTGACACAATGTCTTTCAGCCATGAGCTATAAATGTCAAACATTAGATTTGTTGAAATATGTGGAATGGTTGTACTTGGATTTATTTCCCTCCCCGGCTCCACCCTTTGTCTCTGCTTCCTGCCTATCATGAATTTAGCAGCTCTCCCTTGTGGCAAGCCCTTTCCCCAGATCTTCCTGCTTTGGAGCCAGCCTACCATGAACTGGCTAAAATAACCTCTCCTCCTTTAAGTAATGAATGTTGGGTGCTATGTCTCAGTGATGAGAAAAATTATTAAGATATTTGGGTACTGGTTATTGCTGTGACTGCCTGACCATGTGCTTTTAGTGG